TTCTTTCTGGTGGAGAATGGGAGCTAAACCTCAACATGGAATGTGTAACTAGTACTTCATCTCAGTTGCGTCTGAAGAGATCATTCTGAAACCAATTTTTAAAAGAGTATTTTCACTTTAAATACTTGTAGTATGCTTATATTCTTTAGGTGAGAAGTGATAACTTCTAGTTACTGAGTCTCTGAATTCTCTAATGTCAGATAATTAGAAATGAAATGTGATTAAATGGCTTACCAGCTTGTACTATAAAGAATTAATAACAGTGAGGCTACAACTTTTGGAGGGCTTTAAACTTCTGAAAATTAATATTTGTATTTCTTTGCACTTAGTATATAGTAAGTCAGCTTGACTGTTTTTTTTTTTTTTTTTTTTCCACCTGAGAAAGCAATCTTTGGCATAGGAATACTTCAGAGGTTGCTTCTGCATTAAAAAAAAGTGTACTTAATTTATTTAAAAATTGAAATCACATATATTTTTTAAGGTTATTTTCACAAACTATAACCTTGAGTTTTGTTTGTTATGCCACCAGCCATTTAAGTATTGTAATGTAGTTGTTGTTCCTGCTGGTTTAAGTTCATAACTTGTTAAAGGAGTATAATACCTGAATGAGGGAAATATGTGTCTGAAAACTAACTTTTTTTTCAGATGTTCTTCGTAATTCTGCTTTAAAAGAGTTAATGTGAAAACTGCCTGTTACAGGCATTTCTTTACTGACTACTTTGAGGGTTGAACCTAAGAGATCCAGATCCAGGTCTAGAAGAGAAAATTCCTGTTTAAGGGGGATTGATGTAGAATCTGGGTGCCCAAATTCACAGTTGCTACCCTGAAGATCTCTGCTGTTTAACACTGAAGACCAAAGGACCACACAGATTTTTTAATTTCACTTGTAAAGCTTCCCAGATGACTGTAACTGTGTATGTACCTCCGTAGAACTGCCACTGTCTTGGGACAACTCGGTCCTTTAGCAGCTAACTTACGCAGTGAACTAAGATTTGGAAACTAGGTGTTCTTCTGCACATGCAGTGGGGGGAACCAGTGCTTCACTACTTTGCAAAATATGTCTAACACACTAACACAAACAAGCTTACTAGAAGATGGAGTGAAGGCCTGCACTTTAAAGCACTAAAAGAAATGCTTTACCTCTGCTCTTCCCACTGTGTACTTACAATAGTGATTAGAAGATATAACTTGGGAATTTAATATAATTTACCTAGCATTTTGATATTTGTTAAGTCTGGATGAACAACCCAAAATGTTGTTTGGCAAGTGAGTACCATAAGAAAGTAGACTTGTTTCCCTGCTTTGCCGTCTGGTGCTGCCTGTCCTTCATGGTAGGACACTGTCATTGCAGCTATTTATGCACCGATATACGTAGGTACACCTATAGCCATATCTTGACTGTTCTAACCAGCATGCACATGGGAGAGAAGGCTAAAGGTGAGGGCACAACTGTATCTTCTGGTTGTGGGGTTTTTTGTGGGTTTTTTGGTCTTTTTTTTTTTGTTTTAAAAAGACAGGTCTCCTTCAGCTTTTTCAAAGTGAAGGGTAAACAGGCATCTCCAAGAGTGTCAGTTGTAGATGTCAAAGGTAATACTTTAAATCCTTTTGAGGGACAGGATTTAAGAGTGTCTCTGCCTCTTGCCTGTGTTTCATATTCTCTTGTGATAAATACTTCTTTTACCACTTCTGTATCTTCACTTTCTCAATGCACTCCATAGTTTGGTGTACAGTTGCAGAAGCAGGTTGTAATTACCTTACGTGGGCCTGACTCTTATTTTTCTATGTGCTGACTATTATTTTCTGACATGTCAGAATACCTTATTTTCTATGTCATGCTTTCTCCTTTGTACTGCTGCTCTTAATACTATGGCATGTTCCAATGTGGGAATGACTGAACGATTTATTTTTGACTGTGTTATGCTTTGGTTTTTTTGATAGACATTAAGTATTCAGATTATTATTTTTTTTTTTTATCCAAGCTAGAGAACACTATTACCTTCAAAAAGTGAGAAGGAAAAGAAAACTAGAGAAGATTCAGTTGTAATATTTTATGAGAGATATGAGGTTTTGTGTTCTGTTCATATAATTTTTCTCCCCTTGAAGGGAAAAGTCATTGAAACTGGAGACAATGGTAAAAAATGAAATGCAGTGTTAAACTAGGGTTTGTTATCTGCTAGTGGTAAAGTGATCTCAGTAGTATTATGACTATCTACCAACACAGTTATTTTTCTCAGGCTGCCAAATGTAAAATGTTAGTAGAGCACATATAGCCCTATAGTAGAATTTATACAGCAACTTGCAGAGCTTTGTTAAAATGTTCTTCCTTATGCATCAGGACCCAGGAAATACAAAGTTCAAATGCCTTCACACACATAAGAGTGGTAGGATATTTTTCTGGGCTTGGTCCTATAGTGCAATAGATTTTATTTTTAAAGAGAGCAAATGTCAGCTTGTACAGTTAAAAATCCCAATATTCAACCAGAGTATAATAAAGCAAATAATTTGAAATGTTTATTGCTCATTTTATGTTTATTTGTTATCCAGAAACTGCTTAATTTATTGTTTAAAAAAATGTTGCTGTTTAGGGATGTGTTTTGTGAAACTAAATATTGAAGCTTTAGGTTGTGACTTTATCAATGTCACTCTGTATTAGCATTCACTTAGCAGTCTTATGGAAAAACACTGGCTCAGCAGGTTGACGTGTAAAGTTATCTATTAAAGCTTCAGCAAAAGCAAAGCCTGTAAGTACTTTAAATCCTATTTTTAGGCATATGAGTGACTCATCTGCTTAAAGGTAGGGGTGCTTGCTTAAGTACTGTGCAGAGTTGGGCCAGAGAGGTACAGGCAGAGTGAACTTACGCTGCCACACCAGTGTGCTTTCTTCTTCATGAAGTAAATATGTCTAGACTTAGTAGAGGCCATGGAAGGCTGAGTTTCTAGTAG